GCCCGACGCCAGGATCTGTGACTCCATCTCGCCCGATCCCTAAACCGCCTCGGTTGTGCCCGACGCAAGGATCCACGACTTCATCTCACCCGATGCCTAAACCGCCTCGGCTGCGCCTGACGCCAGGATCCATGACTCTGTCTCGCCTGATACCTAAACCGCCTTGGCTGCACCCGACACCAGGATCCATGACTACGTCTCGCCCGATCCCTAAACCACCTCGGCTACGCCCGACGCAAGGATCTGTGACTCCGTCTCGCTCGATCCCTAAACCGCCTCGGCTATGCCCGACGCAAGGATCTACGACTCTGTCTCGCCCGATCCCTAAACCGCCTTGGCTGCGCCCGACGCCAGGATCTGCGACTCTGTCTCGCCCGATCCCTAAACCGCCTCGGCTGCGCCCGACGCTAGGATCCGCGACTCCATCTCACCCAATTCCTAAACTGCCTCGGCTGTGCCCGACGCAAGGATCCGCGACTCCGTCTCGCCCGATCCCTAAACTGCCTTGGATGCGCCTGACGCAAGGATCCGTGACTCTATCTCGCCTGATCCCTAAACTGCCCGCTAACATAACCCTCTAGGCGATTCTGCCCGAATCGCCCGGGGGCTCGGGGGCTACACCCGCGGGTGCGCTCGCGCGCACCTGCCGTCAAGACAAAAATCCCTCATACGATTCTACCAGAATTGCCTGGGGGCTCCTGTCGGTTTCATAAACCCAGAGTCCCTCATGGACCGGCTTCCCAGCAAAGGCTCGGCCCAGCAGACGACGTTGCGAACCATGCGCAACTCCTGGGCTGGTAGAAATACCTAAACGACAGGCCAGAAGAGCGATTCAATCTCCGTCCGGAAGGCCTCGCTAAGGAGGAACAACGCTCGCTTCCGACTCCGGCCCGCCTCTCCGACCGAAAGGCCTGGCCAAACACCGTTTCCGACTCTAACCCGTGTCTCCGACCAGGGATGCACCGAACCCCTACTTACAGCTCTTCTCCGACTGGCGCAGTCGGAGCCGACTGGGACCAACCGACCGGGGACCCCTGCTCGGTGAGGACCAGGAAATGGACGGAGCAAGTAAGGTAGAGCACTCAAGTCGACCGCAATACTAAGGACCATACCCTACACACCTATAGGACAGTAACCGACAGGACATATCAGAAGGGTGCCCTGCAACCTTCTAGGCATGTCAAAACCCAAGCAGTGTTGTGGGCGCCATCAACTCCCATACCAGATAAACGCAGTAAGGCTCTCCCCACATGTCTCTGGGCATCAATAGTGTTGTGGGCGCCGTCATTTACCATACATGGTGAATACGGTAAGACCTCCCACATCGTCTGACAACAACAGTGTTATGGGCGCCTACCATCATCTTGTATCCGATGGCGTGAGCAACAAGACTTAGTAGCATACATACTATCTCTCTCTCTCGCTTATAGGGCCGTCCCCTTCATCTATAAAAGGGGATGCGCTCTCTCGCAACAAGGAGACCCCCGAGTTCACCCACACACAACAGCAGAACAACTAGGTTCAAACCTCGAGCACACGCTCAAACACTTAACACACAGCGGAGCTCCCATCACTCTCGGCCCTTCAGACCGGAGTCCGACCAGACCTCTTGCACCCCCCATCTTTCTCCCTTCGTTTTGTAACCCCATAGCAAACTTCGAGCACCTGGGCTCAGGAATAAAGTCACCAACCGACTCAAACTGGATGTAGGGCACATTGCTTGAACCAGTATAAACCCTGTGTCATTGAGAGCTATGCCACATCCGATCACAATGTATGGCAAAACTATAAATATTTACGTGTTGGTCACTTTCTGCACCGACACAAGTCAACTCAAAACCTCTGATATTGAAATTCGATGTTAGATGACACATACGGACACAAACCACATGTCCACATCCAAGCGTATCCAGTGGCGGACCCAAAATTTGACGAAAATTAGGTCACGTTTAGTGCCACATATAGAGGAGCAATATGACGTAAAAGTTTCCAATTTGGAAAAGAAAACCTTGACCTCGAACTATTTCAAATTCAACTTAGCCACTTGTATAGTTCTCTCTCTTATACATTTGTATTGGAAACTCTGTCCTACTATTTATTTTTTCCCCACGTCCTTCCACCCCTAGATCGGTCGATCGATACACGTGCGTATATTTCTGCACGGCTAGATCAATTTTCCTAAGTGTGGGAAAGATTGGGAGTTGAGACAGAGAGTTGTGGAGAGCAGATTTTTCTTCAATCTTACCAACAAATCAAAAAAATTGGAAACTCTTGGAGATGCTCTACGCAAGGGACCAGTAGCTTATCGGTTCATTTGAAAACATAGTGTGATTCAAAAATGTTTTTAGAGAGAGAAAACACTCAACCAGTAGCGCACATTCGATATCACTATTTTCTAAGTTTTCTTAATAACCTTGCCTAAAATTTGCTCACATATAGTAGTTGAATCCAGAAATTAAGGTGTAGTTGAGAGCTCTGCTAGCTAATAAGATCATAGGCTCGCATTTGCGTTAAAATCCTGTGGTCTAAAATTTAGTTGGCTAAAGTTTAGAACTAAAACTTTAGATCACTTTAGCTTACTCATTTGGTCTAAAGTTTTTGTGAGGTTGGCTAAAGTTTTGACGACACTTTAGACCTCTAGAGCCTCAAGAGCTAGACTAACGGATGAAACAAGACCTAAATTGTTATTTTTTTCACTGATAAAAGAGTTGTAATTAATATTATCATGTTTCTAATATATACATGAAATAGGTTCATAAGCACGTTAGCGGAAAAGAAAGTCTTGTTTCAGAGATAAACTACTTACTATATTCAAATACTCGATGAGTGCAAAAAATCCAACCAAAGTTTCAAATATTAAGTTGCTTATTAAGAGAGGAAAGCATATAAGATACGTGTCGCTGAAATACTTCTTCGAGTCGCCTTGTCTTGGTATTGTGTACTAAACTAATAATAAGTGCGAGCGCGATAGCACTACACTCTAGCGTGATTTCCATTAGGGTAGTCCTAGCCCTCGGACGTTGAGGCCGCGTCTGCGCTCCTAGCATGCCCGTGCCACCCGAATGCCGCCTGCACCATCAAACCGCGCGTGGGACCGCTCGCGTCCCCTCCGCTTCTCGTGCATATTGTAACATATGTAACACCCGATCGACTTGTGAAATATCCAGATGCAACACTTCCAACATACGATCGAAGACAAATAAAATATTTAAAATATGTGTTTGAAACACTTGCAAAAACACCTAGAAACACTTGAAACCATTGCAGACATATGCAACATCCAGATAAAACACTTGCAACATATGTATGAAACATATACAACATCTAGATAAACACAATTACAACATACGTCTAAAAAGAAAAATAGATGAAACATTGGGAACATAAACTTACAACATATGTGTACAACCTTTGCAACACCCCGATCTACTTTTACAATATCCATATAAAACACCTGCAACATACCTATGAAACATCTGAAAATACTTGAAACATACGCTTTACAACATGCGTTTTTCACCCTTCTTCTTCCGGATGACGCAGAGCAGAGAGAGGAACGGCCGGTTTCGACCAACCGACGACCGAGGATGGTGGCACAGCCTGGCAGTGGCAGCTGCGCCTAAGCCTGGCTTAGGCCCCGGCCAGCGACGGCCCCTCTCCTGGCCACCTGGCCACACACAACGGTCGACGCCTGCCCGCCATTCGCTAAGCGTGGTGGAGAGGGAGGAAGGCGGCCGCCGGCACTCGGATGCGGTGGAGATGGAGGATGAGGCCGCCGTCGAGCGGGCATGGAGGAGAACGTCGCTGCAAGGCGGTCGTGGTAGACCACACTGCGATGGTGCAGACGCTGCTTCAAGTGGGGAGCGTTTTTTCTGAGTGGAGACAACAGCCGAAGACAAGCGCGGGAGAAAAGTTGTTGGGCCGGCCCACGCTAACCTGAGCGTCCGGTGGATCGGATTCGGACCGGTTGTAGTAGTTCCGTTTCCATTAACGGTACTGGGAGAGTCTAGTCTCTCGTCGCCTCTCGAGCGCAGCGTGGTAGGTCAGCTCGGGCGTTTTTCACCGAATGCGGTGGAGATGGAGGATGAGGAGTCGGTTTTCGGTTTTCGGTTTCGGGCTCGGTCATCGGCTTCGGTTTGGTTTTAGCTCAAACCGAACCGTAAAGGAGCTCATCAATCGCTCATCAATCGCAAGAACGTCTCGAGTCCGGCTCGGCAGCCCACCTCAACATCCCCCATCGCCAAGCAAAGCCCATGAAGGCCCACCGGTCCACCTCCTCCGGTCCTCCACCACCCACACCACACCCAGGCACCCCACACACCTCTGAATCCTAACCTACCACGGCGGCATGGCTGGGTGAGTAGTGTAGGCGAGGCTTGCGGTGCGAGCAAGGAGCGCCGGGGAGTGTTCAGCATTTTCGGCGAGTGGGGACAACAGCCAAGACAATGGGGTATTGGCGCGATCGGGCGAGGAGAAAAGTTGTTGGGCCGATTGGCGAGCTTGTGGGAGCGGGAGCGACGCTACGGCTGAGCGTCCGTGGATCGGATTCGGAACCGGTTGCGGGGGGAGTTCCGTTTCCATTAACGGTACGAGAAGGTGCTACCGAACACGAATCAGAGTCGAAATCCTCGTCCGCTTTCTCTCTCGGTTTCAACCTTTGCAAAGCGAAGTTTCCTTGAACCGATGAAACCGAACCGAATTGTCGGTTCCAACCGATTGCCCAGGCTGAGTGGTAGGGCAAATTCGGCAATTTTGGGTCTCCCGAAGTCAACTCGGTACGAGTCTTGGAACTGGAACAAGAACAAAGAACCTTTCCGCTCACGGCTCCCCGCCTCCTCGGCCTCTCTATATGGTCCATAAATACTAGTAATCGCCTGGGCCAAGCAAGCATCAATCTCCCGAGTCCACGCGACATCCTATTGATCGAAATCACCGGCGGCGGCCCCCGTGTCTCCAGCCACGTCGCAGGACCACCTTGACTTGATCATCGTGCGCACGACATGGCGGGAATACATGCCAGCTTCAACCCCTGGACGGTGCTCGACAGTAACGACCCCGGCGACGTCATTGGCGAAACCAAAACCAAAGACAAAGAGGACGCAGCAACCGGCAAGAAGCCGGCATCTGGATCCTGGGTGCCGTCGTCCAAAGCCATGGAGGCGTCGACGCCGGCTAAGAAGCAGTACAAAAAGAAGTTGCCGGCTGCCGCGGCTCGCGACCAAGCTAAAAAGAAAGGCCCTGGCGGCGGCGCCGCGAAGCAGAACGGCGCGGGAAGGGGCCAAGAACGGTGCCTACTGAGGCGGCCGACGCCCACTTTCCGGCTCTGATACGGCGATGATTGGAACTTACGTGATGGATATACGTTCGTTGCTTGCATAGGGTATTCGTGATTTTGGTGTCTTATTATAGATTTGTGCTTGTTCGTCTAGATTAGGTTACTACTGCTTTTTTGGGTACATTATTGTTGTTCTTGGCTACTTATTATGTCAAGAAATATCTATATTATTATCTAATCAATATATGAAAGCAAGTGTACCTTCAAACACAAATCTACACACAAATTTCAAAATAATTTTCAAAGCAGTTGGTAGGCAGAGTTTCAACAGACTGATCAAATCTTGGTCAAAACGTATCGTGTATTCGTGACTAGGTTTCTTGGCAGAAAAGAGTGCTGTCTCATGACACTTTTACTGTCTCGAGGACTAATGGAGATCATATATCACAGAAGACAGAAATTGCTATCACAGAATATTAAATTGCTATAGATTTTTAGATCCTATTTCCGGTTCCTGACTCCGGTTCCTTTTTACACCCTCGGTTTCAAATTATAAGTTGCTTAACTTCTTTTTGGTACATCCATTTTGGTATGCATAGTATGTGTAGATACATAACAAATTCTATATTAAAAAAAATCAAAGCGACCTACAATTTAGAACGGTTGGAGTACAATGTATAGAGGAGTTGTAACCGGCGAAACAAAAAAAATTAATCGCAAATGCTTGCACATGGTCGTCCGTCCGGTCGGGAAATAGGCCCAACAGCACCGTACCTCTCTTCCATCTTCCATCGCTGAAATTTTTCCACTCGCACTCACATTGGTGTCGCGGAGTCACCGCACCCGCCCCACTCCGCCTCGCCGCGCCATGCCCTTCCCCTACCGCGCCGCACCTTGTCGCTCGCCGCGCCGCGCCCCATCTCCTGTGAGCGGACAGCGTTGGACGACTGCGGACAAGCAGAAGCAATCCATATCTCTAAGCCCAATATATATAGACTCTAACCACAATTGATGGCCCATTACGAGACTGCACATTGTACTGAAAAGGAAAATGTACTGATTGCATTGGTACATATTACTCCCTCCGACTCAAGTCAACTCAAAACCTCTGATATTGAAATTCGATGTTAGATGACACATACGGACACAAACCACATGTCCACGTCCAAGCGTATCCAGTGGCGGACCCAAAATTTGACGAAAATTAGGACACATTTCATTGTCACATATAGAGGAGCAATATGACATAAAAGTTTCCAATTTGGAAAAGAAAACCTTGACCTCAAACTATTTCAAATTCAACCTAGCCACTTGTATAGTTTCTCTCTCTTATACATTTGTATGGGAAACTCTGTCCTACTATTTATTTTTTCCCCACGTCCTTCCACCTCCAGATCAGCCGATCGATACGCGTGCGTATATTTCTGCACGACTAGATCAATTTTCCTAAGTGTGGGAAAGATTGGGAGTTGAGACAGAGAGTTGTGGAGAGCATATTTTTCTTCAATTTTACCAACAAATCAAAAATTTTGGAAACTCTTGGAGATGCTCTATGCTAGGGACCAGTAGCTTATCGGTTCATTTGAAAACATAGTGTGATTCAAAAATGTTTTTTAGAGAGAGGAAACACTCAACCAGTAGCGCACATTCGATATCGCTATTTTCTAAGTTTTCTTAATAACCTTGCCTGAAATTCGCTCACATATAGTAGTTGAATCCAGAAATTAAGGTGTAGTTGAGAGCTCCGCTAGCTAATAAGATCGTAGGCTCGCATTTGTGTTAAAATCCTATTTAGATCCTGTGGTCTAAAATTTAGTTGGCTAAACCGCTAAAGTTCAGGACTAAAACTTTAGATCACTTTAGCTTACTCATTTGGTCTAAAGTTTTTGTGAGGTTGGCTAAAGTTTAGACGGTATTTTAGACCTCTGGAGCCTCGAGAGCTAGACCATCGGATGAAACAAGACCTAAATTGTTATTTTTTCGCTGATAAAAGAGTTGTAATTAATATTATCATGTTTCTAATATATACATGAAATAGGTTCATAAGCACGTTAGTGGTTGTTTCAGAGATAAACTACTTACTATATTCAAATACTCGATGAGTGCAAAAAATCCAACCAAAGTTTCAAATATTAAGTTGCTTATTAAGAAAGGAAAGCATATAAGATAGGTGTCGCTGAAATACTTCTTCGAGTCGCCTTGTCTTGGTATTGTGTACTAAACTAATAATAAGTGCGAGCGCGATAGCACTACACTCTAGTGTGATTTCCATTAGGGTAGTCCTAGCCCTCGTACGTTAAGGCCGCATCTGTGCTTGTCAGCATGCCCGTGCCACCCGAATGCCGCCCGCACCGTCAAACCGCGTGCGTGGGACCGCTCGCGTCCCCTCCGCTTCTCACGTGCATTGTAACATGTGTAACACCCGATCGACTTTTGAAACATTCAGATACAACACTTCCAACATATGTCTGAAGACAGATAAAATATTTAAAACATGCATTTAAAACACTTGAAAAATACCTAAAAACACTTAAAACATGCGTTTGAAACACTTAAAAACATTGGTGACTAGGTTTCTTGGCAGAAAAGAGTGCTGTCTCGTGACACGATCACTGTCTCGAGGACTAATGGAGATCATATATCACAGAAGACAGAAATTGCTATCACAGAATATTAAATTGCTTTAGTTTTTTAGATCCTATTTCCGGTTCCTGACTCCGGTTCCTTTTTACACCCTCGGTTCCAAATTATTTTACACCCTCGGTTTCAAATTATAAGTTACATGGCTTCGTTTTGGTACATCCATTTTGCTATACATCTTGATCTAGTATGTCTAGATACATAACAAATTCTATATACCAAAAAAGACAAAGCGACCTACAATTTATAACAGATGGAGTACAATGTATTGAGGAGCTGTATCCGGCGAAAAAAAAAAAGCAAATGCTTGCACGGTCGTCCGTCTGGTCTGGAAATAGGCCCAACAGCACCCTACGTCTCTTCCATCTTTCATCGCTGAAATTTTCCCACTCGCACTAGCATTGGTGTCGCTGAGTCACCGCGCCCGCCCCACTCTGCCTCGCCGCGCGCTCGTCCCCCGCGGCGCCATGCCCTTCCCCAACCGCGCCCCATCTCCTGTGAGCGGACGGCGTTGGACGATTGCGGAGGAGTAGCAGCGGTGCTAGAGAAGCTGCGTCGACAAGCGTGAGCCTGGACAGCGAGCAAGCGCGGGAGAATCGTAGGAGGAGCGATGGGTCGACGTCCTACAGCTGAGGTGTACGTTGGACCGACGTCCCCCTGATCCGAGTTTACTGGCTACTGCAGTTCCCCACCAGGTAGGCTGTGGCTGCTCGGTAACATCGTGTTTCCAATGTTTCGGGCGTTCTAGACTTTATGTTTCAAGTGTTTTTTTGCGAGACCCAGATACTGACGCAGACGCTCACATACACGAGCGCACACTCACCCCTATGAATGTTATGTTTCAAGTGTTTTTTTTGCGAGACCCAGATACAGACGTAGACGCTCACATCCACGAGCGCACACTCACCCTCGCTGTCGAGGGGCACGTGGCCTACCACTGAAAGAATTGTGCCGTTAAATCCTGGAATTAATCCAGGAAAATACGAGCACCCGTGTCAAGTCAGTGACTTAAACCCGGGTAGACATGTTTCACCACAAGAAACCCAACCAGTTGAGCTACACTCAGTATGTTGCAAAATCAAATCTAAGATGTTGCAATGACAATATATGCATGTTGCAAGCGTATATTTTAAAGTGTTTTCGGTGAATGTTTCAAATGTTTTATCTGGATGTTGTAAAAGTATATCTTCGTGTTGCATATACATGTATGTTGTAAGAGTATATTTTAAGTGTTTCAGATATTTCATATGTAAGTTCAAGTGTTTGAGATATACATGCACGTGGCCCTCTTGCCAAGTTCAGAGTCAGGCCTAGGCGTGTCTCGCTCACTTTCTGCGGACAAAGGACCCCACTCGTCAGAAGCAGAGACACCAAGTGATCCAGATGGCAACGGTCAAGTGCCCGCCAGCCGCCAATGCCAAGCGATCCCCCCAACGGTTACTTTCGCAGCGAACTGCTTTCTATTTCCCCCTTCCTATACCCGCGCTCACAGCCTCCTCTGTTTCCACACCCCCACCGTCCCACTCCCAAAGTCGAGGCTCGAGAGACATCCCCACAAGTGATCCGCATGAGTAGCACAGCCGAGGAAAACGTCGGAGACGGCGGCGGCGGCAGCACCGCGGCGCGAGTGGTGGTGGTCGAGCGCGTGGTGACTGTGGAGTACCTGGAGCCGTCCATGTCGCGGAAGCTGCTGGGCAAGTTCCCGGACCCCTCCGCCTTCGACTTCGACTACTCCCAGAGCGGCATCTGGTCCCCGCTCAACAAGGTCCCGCGCGGCGGCGCGTGCTGCGAGGCCGAGGCGGACGACGCCACCAACTCCTCCTCGACCGACTTCCTCATCGCCAACCCGAAGCGCAGGGCGCGGGCCGGCGGTCGGCTCAAGGACTCGGCCACCGGGGGCGGGAAGTCCAGGTGGAGGCGCAGGCGAGTGCGGCGAGACGGGTCCTTCCTCGACCTCCACGACACGGGCAGGGCCAGGCTCGACTTCTCGCCGCCGGCGCCTTCCCCTGCGAAGGTAGTAGCCACTTGCATTCGTTAAGCTTTGCTGCAATCTTCATGAGCATCACGCGGGTTTCCACTGGTTTGGTTGGGCGGTTCAGGAGGGGTGGAGGCGGGTGCTCAAGGCGGCCATCAGGAAGTTCAAGGCGCGGCAGCGGCGGTCCCAGCAGGCTCCCCTGCTCCAGATGGTCCTCCCCATGCTGTGATCGATCGATCTCGAGCGCTCACACGAATTGCCTGCGTTTTGTTTTCACTTTGTTACTCCTACATCACAGTTCTTCGGATTGGATCCAGAGGCTGGTCCATGCCCTGGTTGTTAGCTTGTACTATAGTTGAGTTCAAATTTGTTGCAAGTTGTAACCGTGTAATGCTCTTGCCGGCGATGTGGTACATGTTTTCATTCAATTTCCGTGAGCTTTATGCTGAGAGAGTATAAATTCCGGTGCCAATCAGTATCCATGAAACATTGAGGGCGAATCGTGCAGGAATTCTACAGGATTAGTTCAATTTCACGGAAAAACCACACAAACAGGCAAAATTTCCTGCGTTCCAAACGGACGCTGAAAATGAAACAAAAGTATGTTATTCATACAAATCTCAGTATTCCACTCTCTTAAAAAAACTCAGCACACTAGTCTTTTGCCATTATTTGTGGAAGAATTCAATCCCTTCACGCTTCAAGTGGGAGCTGGATTCCTCGTGGAACAATGCAGGATCAGGGTGCTAGCAACTTCTGTGACAAGCCCTAAAGTGTATTGGTGGGTAAGAGCATCTCCAAGAATGCCCCATATCACTTCTCCATCCATGTTTTTTTTTGAGAAAAAAAGAAAAATTCATCTCTAGGAGTGTCCCCTATCCCTTCACCATCTTTCCACGCAAGGCAACCCGGCCTCCTCCGTGCGTAAAAATACGCCGACCGACACCTCGCGCATCTCCTCCTTCCCGCGCCGTCTCCTTCTTCCCGCGATCCTCTGCCAGTGCCACCAGCGCCACGAGAGCGCGAACAGACCGACCCCCGTGGCCGCGAGGAGGGCCACTGCGGCGACAACCACTGCCGCGAGCGCCCTGGTCGATGGCGCGCGCCCGTTGCCGGCGGAGGGCGTGACCTGCGGCGCGATGCCTGCGCTGAAGGGCTGGGGCCTGTCGGGGTCGATGAGGTCCGCCGGGGTGCACGGGCGGAGCACGGGGAGCCCGGCGCCGCACAGGTCGCTGTTGTTCCCGTACTGGAAGCCGGCCTGCAACTTGGCGGCCAGTTCTTGGGACGAAGCAAGCAGAAAACCAATCAGCATTATTGTTTATTGCTCTCAAGAATCGATGGCCCCCGGCCGGACTAATGGATGGAGGCATTACTGGCGGGCACGCTGCCGGTGAGCGAGTTGTTCCTGACGTCGAACGCGACGAGGCTGGGCAGCTGCGCGAGCCTGACGGGGATGGAGCCGAAGAGGAGGTTGAAGCTGAGGTCCAGGCGCGCGAGCAGCGGCAGGCCGCCGAGGCTGGCCGGGATGGCGCCGTTGAGGCGGTTGGACTGCAGCGCCAGCACGGTGAGCCTGGTGAGGTTGCCCAGCTGCGTGGGGATGCTCCCGGTGAGCTGGTTGTAGCAGAGCTGCACCACTGCACGGCCATGGACACATCAACATCAGCAGCATTCATTCAGAATCAGGCAGGAGATGCAATGCCAGGATCAGCAGCATTCATCCATGTGGACCCAAATTTAATTTTTTAAAGCCATTTATGGAAAACTCTTGGAGATTGATTTTTTTCCCATCCCAATACCTTTTAAGAAATTGCAAAACTATATGATTTGGGAAAAAAAAAATAGGGTACTGTTGTACTTGCTCTAAGTATAGCCAGACGGGGGACTCTTGGGCCGGCCGGACTGCCGGCTCCCTCACCCGCCCCCCACCCCCAGCTCCACCTTCCCCTCCTCCAGTTCCAACCCAGATCTGCCACGCATCTTATAATCCCATTGATCCTAGTCTCTCCCTCCAGCTTCAACCTCTGCTGGCCGAGCACGCCGCGTCGGTCGCGGACCACGCACGCGAGGGCCGCCAGGACTTTGTCGTCAGGCTCTGCGCCGCCATTGACACCGGCGCCGACGACGATAGCGGACTCACCATCACCGAGGTCAACATCTGTAACACCATCGGTGTTACGTCCTAAACCAATTACTAAACCACCTCATGAGCATCATGTTTATGTGTTAGAACTTGTGGAAAAGTGAAAATAGAATTTTGGTTGTACTAAAAATGTCCAACGAAGATTTAGTTACTAAAGGTTCTAGTGCTTGTGTGTTATCGAGTAGGCTTATAAAATAATTTTTATTAAGCAAAAATGTTATAAAATATGTATGTGACATTTAAATAAAGTCTGAAGTACAGATTTTATAGATAACAATGTAACTTTTGTCTTACGAAAATAATATTGCTAGCTAATATTTCTAATAACTTAGAAATGGAACTTGAAATCAAATCTAGCTCAAGACAGAAAAATCCTTAAGTTTGAAAACAGTGTGACAAGGCTATGTTGGTGAATTAATTTTGGAAAATTTAGCTAAAGGTCAATGCTAAGTTTTTGTTCCGTATGGTAGTTTGATGTACCCTCTTTAGCTTAGTGAAGGCGGTTTAGCTCCAACTTCATTAGTTTAGTTTGTATCAACGCTTTAAAATTCGTGCACGACACAGCCTCGGGATGTTTGGCGCCGTGTGCGTGGCCACCTCGCGCCGCGCCCATGGCCACGTCCCGCGCGGCCACCCGTGGCACCACGCTGGGTCCGTCGAGCCCTTTTGGCTTGGTGAGGCCGGCCACAAAGAAGTCATGCCCCCCCCGCTGCCGCGCACCGCCGCCGCTTTGCCGCCATTGGTCGCCGCCGCTCCCATGCTTCAGGCTGCCGCCGTCGATCCGCACCTCCCCGCGGCTCTGACCATTGTCCGCCTACCGGTGGCTTCGCCCTTGCCATCAGGTGGCGCGTGCTTGGTGTATCCACAGCATCGGCACAAGGCCGTACCCGCTGTCGTCTCGCCCATAAAGGCGCGGTAGCCGCTCGTGCCGTGTCGATCGCGGACGCGTGCATGCCTTGTCCGTAGCGCCTGCGCGTGTGCGTCCTGATCGCGCCGCTCGCATCCCGCCAAGGCGAGGACGAGCCGAGCGCTGACCGCCTCTCTCTCTCTCGCGACTACGACCGGTCGACCGCGCTCGCCCAATTCGGCATGGTTAGATCACCTCAACTCAATTCGACTTGTCTCTGGCCTCTCCATTAAGCCACCTGACCCCCGACCCCACCCAACCTTGAAGTGAGCACGACCAAGCTCCAATTTGGAGTTTTCCCCACCGCCGTGCCGATAAGGCCGAGCTCGGCCATTGCCGTGGGCAGTCCTCCATCAGTCCACCCCGACCCAATCCAAGTGCACCGCTAGGTTCGCTTCCACCTCTACGTCGCCCTGCGCTCCTTAGTCGTACCTCTACCGCTACCCTGGCGCTGCTGACATGGTCGTGTCCGCTGTAGTGCGCCACCGTGTCGCTCGGTCGCATGTGGCTAGCCTCGCTCGGACAGTCCCTGGTCGTACCGTCACCTCGGCCAGGTCCACGGTGAGCCCCTACTGCTCGCACGCCAGCTGATTAAGCCGGTAACTGTCCTAGTTCACCAAAACCATTGCGCCGTCGTCATGGACAGCTGCGCGCCGCTGCGGCCTTCTCCAGTGAGCCCTGCCACCCCTCACAGCCGCTTAGCGTAGTCATCTAGGTCAGAGATGGCGATCGACCCGTTAGATAGGCTCGCGCAGGTCCCAGGTGGCTGGCGTAGTCACTCGGTGTGCCGCCGCCGCACCGTCGTGCACAGAGTTGCCGAAGGTGTGCGCGGGTGAATTAGGAAAAACTCAGGGATTTAAATGAATTCACTAGAGGAAGAAATAGTGTTAGGACTTAGGTGTAGTTCGAGGGAAGTTCGAGGCCTCTTTTGCAAAAACGCCAGCGCGCGTGGGCTCCCCTGCCGCGGGCCACCTCGCTGGTGGGCCGACGCCGCGTGGGCCGCGTCCGCGGGCCATTTCGCGTGCATGCCGCACGTTGTGGGCCACGCGATGGAATTCGTTTTTCTTTTTGTTAGGAAATTAGTAATAGCTTTTTATTTTAACTTCTGAGCTGCTCTTTGGTAATTAATATAAAACCGTGTAGATGCCCAAAAATTGCGAAACAAATTTTTTATGTTCCTAAAATTATGATCTATCTGTTGGTAAAGTGGTTCATACATATGTGTGTTGATACTAGGAGCTATTAAATCATTTGAAAGTGCTTAATATTATTAAAGTAATTATTGTAGGAATTTTTGTGGTAAATTGGTGATAGCTTTGATCCTAAAATTTTTACAGTAGCTTTATTGTATTATTATGTGCTTATTGTAATTTTTGTAGCCCTAATATAGCTTGTTTATTAGGGTAGCTACATATCCATTAATCCTTTAATATGAATAAGAGCATAACATTGATTTAGGAAATTAAGCACTTGTTAGGGTGAGCTTGACACTTGATTTGATAGAGCAGATGGTTAGCTTAGTATCTTAGTCATTAGAGGTAGTTTGTTAATATGGCATATGTATTCATATTTTAAAAGTTGTTGCCTAAATACTAAATCGTTGCATCATCATCATCGCATGAATATAGAGAACGAGTCGGCGAAGATCGTGACCACCGGCGATCAAGAGTTCGAGGAGATCGTCGAGGAGTACGAGGAGGAGATTCTCATGTAGGAGGAGGTCCTAGAGCCACCATTGACTGGCGCAATTGACACCGCGCCTGCCCAAGGCAAGCCCCGGTGCATAACCCTTATTTTTTATAATCACTATATGTATATATGTGATATGCATTTACATTACAGGAATTTTATGGAAACCACATACATAGATACATCTGTCCTATGAGTCTTACGAGAGAAAAAGAGAGGGAAGAAGGCTTCTAGGATCGTCGGGTCCTTCTTCCCCTTCATGCGGGTCCCACCGATCCTGTAGATGTCAACAGGGATGGCTCCACGTCGTGGCCCTGTTCGTCACGAACGCCATGAGCAGGCATCATCTACCGATCATGGCATTCCACTCTATCCTGGCGAACGTTGTGGTGAACTGACGCGCTTGTCAGCGTCCGTACGAGGGTTAGGCAGAACAGCACCGGCACGTCCGACACTGTTCTTGATGTGAATACCCAGGTATGGCCCGTCATGG